TGTGTTATCACAAAGTCTGAGCCACCAGCTGAGGTCATGTTGATGTCAGAGGGCCATGCCACCCATAGTGCCATACTAATCTTAGTGGCCTACACTGCCACTCGGGGACATGATGACATCCAGGCCCCAGCTGTGGCAGAGGGCCATGCTTGGGTCTGTGGCCCTACTACAGCAAAGGTCTTCATTGATGTCAGTAGCCTGTGTTACCATGGGGGGTGCATGGGAGAGCTGTCCCAGCCTAGGAACCAGAGAGTTGGTCCCACCCCTCACCAGCTGCCTCAGCAGGAGAGCTGTCATCTCCCCACCCCTAGAACTGGCCCCAGTGGCATGGGAATAGGAGAGCTAACCACACCCCTCACCATTCTGGCTGGAGAGCTGATGCTGACCCTCCTGGTGGAGACCCAGACTGACCAACTCAGCTACCATCCAGGCCCACACCAAGGGCTTTGAGTTGGCCCACTCCACATCTACCCCCATCTGTGACCTGCTGGAGTGTGTGAAGGGACTGGTCCTGCAGAACCATAGCTGCAGGATCTCCATGACTCGGGGCAATGGCAGGATACCCTGGAGGAGTTACTATGAGGGTCCAGTATTGATATACCAGAAGCCAAAGGCCTTGAACCAGACTAACAACTCATTACAATGAACATTTGCGAGTAAAGCTATTTGGGCAAAAGGACCTACAGCATGATACACAGCAGCTCCCAAGGCCACTACAACAAATGAATATGTGATGGAGAGGTTGGAAAGATAGAGGAGCTAAGTGTTTGGGATTTTTTAAAATTCTTTTTCTTTTGAAGGGGGCTGCTACAAGGGTGAAAGGAGTACATGGAGTGGCTGAGAGATGGATGGGAGGGATTAGAGTCCATGATGTGATGTTCCCAAAGAATCAATTAAAAATTATGTTAATAAAAAAGTGTGTATTTGGGCTGGAGAGATGGCTCAGAGGTTAAGAGCACTGACTGTTCTTCCAGAGATTCTGAGTTCAATTCCCGGCAACCACAACCATCCATTATGAGATCTTGTGCCCTCTGCTGGCATGTAGGCAGAAGACTGTATACAAAATAAATAAAATCTTTAAAAAAAAAAAGTGTGTATTTTCAGGTAGACACAGCTCAGCTCATACTACCCACACTTGAAGAATAAGACATCTGCTGCTGACATCATGAGTGGGGAATGTTATCATTTTAGCGAGGCCAGGTGTTCACGCTTTTAATGGCAGCATTTATCAGACAGAGGCAGGTGGATTTCTGTGAGTTTGAGGCCAGCCTGGTTTACATAGCAAACTCCACACCAGCCACATAGTGAGGCCTTGTCCCAAGCAAAACAAAACACCGTCCCCTGAAAAAAGAGAAAAGGAACCCTGATACAGTGACCCACGCCTGTAACCTCAGCATTTGGGAGACTGAGGGAGAATGACTTCAAAGCCAGCCAAGGTTATAGAATAAGATCTTGTCCCAAAAGAACCAATGGGATAAAAAGTGAGAGAGAAAAGAGGATACTGGAGTTCCATTGATCAGATTGCTGGCCTCCCATGCACAAAGCCCTCCCTGGGTTTGATCCTCTACACTGAGTAAGCTGAGCATGGTGGTGGACATCTGTAATGGCAGAACTTGGGAGACAAAGGCAAGAGATCAAATTCTAGGTTGTCCTCAACTACATGTTGAGTACGAGGCCAGCCTGGGGTACATGAGACCCTGTCTGAAGGGCACAGAGGGAAGAAGGAAAGGAAGAGAAACGGAAAGGGAGGGAGAGGGGGTGGAGCAAGAGGAGGAGGAGGAAGAGGAGGAGAGTAGATTGATTGCCTCATTGAGGGGGGGTGAGAACTATAAATTTTGATTTGAGTTTTCTGGCTAAATTGGGTTCTCTTTGGAGAGCTCCTCTATTCTGAGGCCATATTCTGTCTATCCAGAAAAGGTCAATGTAACAGAGATTCCAGCCAGCCATTAAGTGACAACTGACATCTGAACTCCCAACCCCAGATTATATAAACAGATCACAAATGACTGTTCTGATGGGCAGAGGCAAGGGCAAACTGCAGTTGCCTAATTCTCTTGCTTGAATAGGTCTAAAACTTGGGAGACAGACCCTGGGCCTCCTAACCAGCCTAGCCTAATCAGCATGTTCCAGGCAAGTTAGAAACCCTGCCTCAGAAAACCAAGTTAGGGAAGGGGCAGTGACATGGCTTTATGAGTAAAAGTGCTTGCAGCTAAGCACAGCGACCTCTAGACAGAGCCTCATAGACACTGGTAGATGGGTTCTTCTAGGTAATTCTTGATCCTGTTCAGGTAACTAGCAAGATTAACCATCAACTTCAGGCTTTCACACATCAATGCCTACCTGATGTCTGCCAATGTATTTGACAAGCGTTTTGTATCGACTATCTAATAACCCCCCCCCAAATAACCATAATTACAGGTTGTTGGGTTTTTGTTTTTTTTTAAGTCAGGCAGATATATATATATCCCAAGATGGTTTTGAACTTGCAGCAATCCTCCTGCCTCTGTCCTATCAGTGTAAACACACAATTCTCACTTCAAAAGAGATAAGAGATAGTTTATTCTGGAGGCCATGGCCCAGGGAACAGATTTATGTCCCCCAAATTCTATGCTGCTATAATAGAAGTCTATAAAGTCTTTCAAGCACCAGAACAAAAAGTCAGAAATCAACACGCCAGGGCGGGAAGATCTGACTCAAACAGAATCTTGAGGGCCATGTGGTCGAGTTTAAAATGAAAAGCCGAGGGCAGACAAACTAGGTTTCAGGGCTGGCAAGGTGCCCTAGGAGAACAAAGACAATAAGCTGTCATGGAGGTTAGCCTCACGTGGTGGAGGCTGGAGCGTTAGAAAAATGCTTAGGAACCCAAGCCAGACCGTTAGGGAATTTAACAGCATACTCAGACTGAGGCCATCATCCTGAAAGAAAAGAAAAATAAAAGGGGAGTGCTTATAGACTCGGATGAACCTAATTAGCTCAACCTGTACTGGGGGAAGGAGAATTACTTCATCTGAAGGTGAAGCCACCTCCCCACGGTGATCCCCTTACCAGGACCCTGTTCTGCCCCTAGTGCATTAACGTTTTGGGGAGGAGACAAGGACGGTCTCCACCTAGAGAAAACTATCGCCACAGCAGACCAAGAAGCGACGGCCGGCGGGGGGAGCGGGGCAGGGGGAGGGGAGGAAGATTCCAGGAAAGGATCTCGGAAGCGGAGGCGACGTGGTGCCCCGGGCGCTTCTCTGGGTGAAGCAACGACAGACACTCTAGTGGAATTGGGTTAAAGGGTCCTTCCCCACTACGCATGCACCAGGACCCGTGTTTGCAGGTGTGCAGCTGGGCGGTACTGCAGACCAGCCGGGAAGGAGATTGTGAAGAACGCGTGGGAGACCCCTCCCTCCACCTGTATGCTCTGGGATGCTGAGCTGGGCTACTCCAAGACCGGTGCCTTGAGACCTCCCCGTTACCCCCAGAACAATCCAAAGCCGATAGAATGGGAGATGCAGCTGAAATGCACAGGGAAAGGATGAAGCCGTTGCAGTCAGGGCCGGGGTCTCACTGAAACTGCACCGGGTGCACGGTTCGCAAGCGCTTTGAGTCATAAAAAGGGTGCCTGGGGAAGGGAGAGCGAGATGCACACCCAGGCTGTGCGGGAGAGCAGCCGCAAGGGGGCGTGCGTGTCTACCCAGCTGTCTGTGTGTGTTTGTGTGTGTAGCTAGACTTCGCATATAAGAGGCAACATACAGTCTTTGTCTTTCTCAGTCTGACTTATTTCACGTAACACAATGATTTCCAGTTCCATTCATTTTCCTGCAAATTTCATTTTTCGTTGGTGCTGAATAAATTCCATCGTGTATATATGCACCACATTTCATGGCCATCAGTTGAAGGACATCTAGGTTGTTTCCATTTCCTGGCTATTGTGAGAAGAGCAACAATAAGCTCTATTCTATTATGTGTTGCATGGATGTTGTATGTGTGTGCGGGTCAGAGGGGGTTCTCCTCTCCCACTGTGTGGGTCCCAGGGATGGAATTCAGGTAAGGCTCAGCCAAGTGCTTTAAATTCTGAACCAGCTCACTGCCCACCCCAATTTGTCTTTTGTAGCCAGAGCTGACCTTGAACTCATGATCCTCTCACCTCAGCCTCCCAAGTGATGGAATTACAGCCCAACTGCATCATGCCCGAATTATAGCACTGAGTGTTTTTGTCCCATCCCCAAATCCAAGCCCTAAACCCAGTCTCCCCACCATGTCCGCAAGCTCTGTCCCACAGGCAACCCAATAACAGCTCTAGAGTCATATCATTTCTCTGGGCGTTTATCTTCATGAGTCATAAAATTACAAGTGCAGGAATCAATGGGTTCCGGTGTACATGCTCTGAACACACAGGTAACACGGCCAAGAACACTAGCAATGACCCCCACCCACCACAGTACATCCCCAGGGTGTATATTACCCATCTCTACGGTGACACACACACAAAATAGCCAGATGCACACATACACACTCAACCTAATGATGAGATACATCCCACATGTCACCTACACCCACAGTCATAATGACATACTTTCGGGGGCTTCATGGGAACAGCTATCCACCAGAACACGCCTATCATCATATATGCCAGGCTATACACCCATGTGGCCCATAAAGAGTAGCACATGCTGGGACTTCTATGTTCTCTTTCCATCACAACACCTTCCCCTTGGATACATGGAAACTCCATACGCCACAAAATGTTCACTTACATACACGCACCCTCCCACACTCATTCCCCTGGATGGATAATCTTCTCTATGCAGATGAATGTCAGACTCACACTCACGATGGGCACCCCCATTTGCTATCTTCACTAGGAGGTGCAATCATGAGTCCTTCCAGGTGTGTCTGTACTGCCCTCTTATTTACTGAGAATTGGGCTCTGTCAGAGAGGAGAGACCTGAAGTCAGGCAGACCAGCACCACTCTGGAACTCCACCCCAGTCTACCTCCCTGGCCCCGGCTTACGAGCAAGTGCTTTCTTCTCTAACGCCTCGAGGGCTTTCTTGATTCCGGTTATATCTGGTGGGAGAGAAGGGACAGGCAAATCTGGGGTGGGGACTCAGACAAAGCCCCGACATCATTAGCAATTTCCAGTTTGAGTGAAGCAGATTCAGATATTGGAGGTTCACAGTACTGGAATGGTGTGTGTGTGTGTCTGTGTGTGTGTGTGGTGTGTGCCTGTGTATATGTTCATAAGTGTTTGCACTTGTGTATGCAAATATGTGAAGAGGTCAGGAGCAGACATCAGTCAGCTCTTTTCTTTTTTTGGGGTGGGGGTGGGGGTTGAGACAGGGTTTCTCTGTGTAGCTTTGGAGCCTATCCTGGCACTGGCTCTGTGACCAGGCTGGCCTCGAACTCACAGAGATCTGACCGCCTCTGCTTCCCGAGTGCTGGGATTAAAGGTGAGCATCACCAACACCTAGCCGCCAGCTCTTGTCTTTAGGACTATCTTCCTTATTTTTTGAAACAGTGTCTTTCATTGAACCTCACCCTTTTGGCTAGACTGGTTGACCAGTAAGCCACATATATCTGCCTACCTCTACCACCACCACCCTTGCCCAACCGCTGGGGTTATGCGCCTGTGCCACCATGCCCAACTCTTATATGAGTCCTGGGAACCTAAACTCGGGTCCTTGTGTTGTGCTTTTCTGACTGGGTCACCTCCAGAGCCCCACCAGTGTTTAAACACCCCCTTCCTTGAACTCACAGGAAACATCTATTGCCCCCTTCCAGTCCAGAGAGCAGGACCCACCCACCTCCTCCTTGAGTAACCAGCACCCTGTTTGTTCTGCGCATCCAAACAAATTCACCCAAAGAGGGCAGGCCTGCAAGGAATACCTGATGGCACCGTCTTCAGCTTGTCATTTCCACTCCGCACTTGGCTCAAGACCATGACAATGTTATTCTTGGCCTCCTGGATGTCCTTCTGGACAGCTTTCCAATGATCGCTTTGCTGGTTCTGGCAGCTCAGGACAATGCTTGAAACTGAGGGCATGGAGTTTGAGGTGTTCAGGTGACCACCTCGCTCCTGTCCCCACCAGCACCACTTTGGGCCCCCTGCACCTCCCACTCACCATTCGAAAGCTCCCCTCTCAAGCTCCACAGCTCCCTGGACATTTCAGAATCTGTTTAGGAGAGGATAGGAAAGCTTTTAAGGCTCCATCCCCATTTTAGCCTTCTTGGAAATGAAGTTGAGGGAAGGGAAAGGAACCCTCTCCCTTCCACAACCCCATCCCTATCCCAGCTCCCAAGATGACTTACTTTTGACCAGAACCAAAGCAGAGAGGATGATGCATGATAAAAAAATGAGAGCAAGGAGGACATACAAGATCATGATGGTTCGGTGCAACCAAGGTGGGATCTGAGTTGTGGCCAGTGACGGCTTGAGCTGGGCTAGGACAGAAACACAGGACATGTGAGCTACAGAGCCCAGCCCCACCAGCCGGCCATCAGTACTGTCTGTAACACCTATTGCCAGCATCAAGGACCAAGGACATCCCCAGTCAGTCAGCATCAGTACTACCAACTTGTATTCTATTTTGTTTTGTTTCGTTTTTCGAGGCAGAGTTTCTCTGTGTAGCTCTATAGACCAAACTGGCCTTGAACTCACAGAGGGCGACTGCCTCTGCCTCCCGAGTGCTGGGATTAAAGGTGTGTGCCACCACTGCCCAGCAACTTGTTTTCTTTACATTGTGACCCTCACATCCCTCTCAACAAATTCTGTCACCCAAATATTAAAAGCACAACCAACAGCACCACCAGAAACATTCTCAGAAACCCCACCCCCATCATCTCAGCTACAAAGCTGCCCCCACCAAAGTACCATTACAAGAGAGAGAGAGAGAGAGAGAGAGAGAGAGAGAGAGAGAGAGAGAGAGAATATGAGAGAGAGAAAGAAAGAGAGGGGGCAGAGGGTATCCTCCTCTGTCACTCTCCACCTATTTCTTCGAGGCAGAGACTCTCCTGTTTATTCAACGAGGCTGGGAACCAGCATGCCACAGTGACCCTCTTGTCTCCACCATCAGAGCTGGGGTTACAGGCATACACAGGACACCTGGTTTGTCCTGTGGATACTGGAATCTGAACTCTAGTCCTCATCCTTGTGCAGCATCACTTTTAATGAATGAGTGATCCACCTCACCAGTGCCACAATCTAGTTAGTTAGTTAAGGTTTCCCGTACCCCAGGCTAGCCTCCAACTCTCTATGGTGCCTAGGATGACCTTTAACTTCTGCTTTGACCTGGGATAATAGGTCTGCACCCACACCCAGTTTATACAGAGCTGGGGTCTGAACCGGGACTTTGTGCATGCTGGGCAAGCACTCTACCAAATGAGCCACAACCCCATCTGCATCACCACCTTTAGCCAACACCACACTCCCCAGCACTCACCCCCTCCACACACTCCTTAAGTTTGGGATGGGATGGGCAAGCAAGTGTCTGCTCACCTTGTTTCGTGGGTGCTGATTGATTGAGTTTGAGCTGGTCCTTGTTTCTGTAGGTCAAGGTTATATTCTCGTAGTCAGGATTGTGAGCACCTGTGTATGATTTGGTGAGAGGAGATGCTGAGACTCATCCAGATATTGGAGAGTTGGTGGGGGAACTCAATCTAGGGGATTTTAATGAAGCAGGCATGAAGAACAAAAATCAGCTTTACAGTAAAGCAGTGCAGGTGTTGTGAGCCCCTTGAAGGAAGGAGCTCTTCTGTCCTGAGGGCTCGAACCTCAAGTTTCTTCATTTCCCCTCTCACCTCTGGTGTCCTTACCTTCATTATGGCCTGGCTTCCTCCGGTTCTTATCCTGGGAGGCTGATGCCTGCATTCTGCTTCGTTGATTCAAGTAGATTACCACAGCCTTGGGCCCTGGACCTCCTAAGTGTCCACACATCCCCACCTACCGGAAGGCGTCAAGACAGATGGGGAAATCTGAGGGTGGAGGGGAGGGAAGAAGGCTTCGTCTCCTCCTTTCAGGGATCCACAACAGATCTCCTGCTCAGAGGCATCTTCAGCCTCCACATCAGGAGAGTCTTCAGAATAACAGGAGTTTCGTGGATGGACAAGAAGGGACCCTTCTTGTGGGAAGATGTGGGAACAGAAGAGAGATTTTTGAGGAAGCCAGAGGGTCTGGGTAGAAGACAGACAGATGGAATGTGCCTGACTTCATCTCCTTGACTTTTGTGTATGGGAGTGGGAGGGGAGGAGACAGGGACAACCCAGCTATGGATCCTCAAGCAATGGCACCTTGTTTTTAAGGCGACATCTCTCACTAGCCTGGAGCTCACCAAGTAGGCAAGGCTGGCTGGCCAGCAAGCCCTGACAATCCCTCTTTCCACCTCCCCTGTTGGGTTACACTTGTGTCCCACATGACCAGCTTTTCTTCCATGTTTTCTCTCTATACACACACACACACACACACACACACACACACACAACTCAGATCAACTCAGAATCTGTCTTTTAGAACACCAGCTGAGTTCCACCTCCCCACAAACACCTTCCCTCTCCAGCCCCACTCCATAGTCCAACCCCGCCCCATCCAAGTTCTACTTTTCATGTAAGCACCACATGTTAGCCAATTGCACCACAGGAGCCAAGCTCACACTCTCAGAGCACCATGAAGAGCAAAGCGGATGTAAGGCAAGAAGGGAAAACCACATTGATGCCACACCTACTTCTCCTACTGAGGGCACCCATATCCTTAACATTTGCCCTGATGCAGTCCTCACAGTATTCTCCCCTCCATGTGGACACACCAGAAGAGAAAAGGCACTCACTCCATCTATCTGCTCCCCTACCTGGTTCACACACATGCATACATGCACATTCAAACCTCCAAATGCCTTCAGTCACAGCTCCTGTATGTATGCCACACTCTCCTTTATATTCTTTTGTAAATACGCATGCACATTTGCATATCTGTCTGTGATGTCTTGTTTTTCTTTTTGTATTAATTGTTATTTAAATTAAAAACAATCTTATTTTACATTTATATACCAATCCCAGTTCCCTCTTCCTCCCATCCTCCCATTCCCCGGCCAACTTCCCCATCCCACCCCCCATCTACTCCTCCTAGAATCCTCACCCCTACTGACTAGTGTCCATGGTGCTGGAAGGTACTCTGTTGCAGGTGTTCTTGTCCCACTGATGCTTCTCAGCCCCAAAATAAGCACACAAAGACTTATATTAATCATTAAACTGTTAAAGCCCGATGACTAGGGCTTCTTATTGGCTAACTGTGTCTTAATAATCAACCCATTTCTATTAATCTATGTATTTCTACATGAACTTATCTTAACTGAGACCTCCTGGCGCACCCTATCCTCCTGGTTTCCACATGGCATCTGTTTCACAGTCTTCCTCTGCCTAGCTGTCCCAGAATTCTCTTTGTCTTCTTGTCCTGCCTATCTTCCTGCCTCATTGGCCAAACAGTATTTTATTCATCAACCAATAAGAGAAGCATAGATACAGAAGGACATCCCCCATCAGTGCTCTGCCCGCTACCACAGAAAAAGGGTAACCACTATCCCAGCTACTAGCCCTATGACCCACAACAGTGACCTTCCTGAAAGATAAGCTGATGCTGGCACAGACATTGTGGGAGTAACCAACAACTATCTGATTGGCTTTGAGGTCCACTCTGTGAGGTGGTACCCTTGCCTAAGTGGTTGTGGGCCTGGGGAAAAACTGAATACTATTGTTATAAAGGAACATAGCAATAAAATGTCTCCAAGTAACATTCTGTAATACCCAAAGATTAGTGTCTTGTTCAGCCATTTTTTTTCATTTTTTTTTTTACTACTTCCTGCAGTAAATGGTGAAAGACTTAAAAATTAGCAAAGAAATATAGCCCAGAAACTGACCAAGTCTACTACTATGACTTAGTGCCTGGAATTTACCAGCCACCAGCAATTACTCCCTTACAAGGCCATAAGATAACTGAGTACCAAGAAATCCCAGATGGCCACCCTCCCCGAGGGGCTCATGAAGGAAACAGATTGCCCCACTGGCCAATGTGTCAATCATTAACAATGAGTGATCTCTCTGAAACAAAGAGATAGCTACCATTAGTTAGCACATCCTGAGGTCTGCAGGTTTTACAACTGGTGGGGTCAGGAGGCTATCTGATTCCCATGCCTCCCCTTAAGACAAAGGGCTTCCTAGGAACCCATGACTCTGGTCACTATTCAACGGATAGAGAGTCGAGGCCCCTCCCTAAGCTTATGGTTTTTGCCTTTAAAAACGCCTGTGCCTGGGGGACGGGGCTGCTCTCTAGACTGCATGCTGAGAGAGCCCGTTTATACAAACGTCTACCTTTCATTAAAGCCTCTTGCTGTTTGCATCAAGTTTCTGCCTCCTCCATGGTGGTGGGGGTGGCCGCAGTCCTGGGAAAAGATTCTGGAGGCCTAAGCTTCAGGGGGTCTTACAATGGGAGGTAACAAAGAGACCCAAACCTGGACAGTGTTCATAGTGAGAGTCTTTGGAACATTCAGTCCTAAATGGAATGTTTTCCTCAAACCTTTCTCCCTCTGGACTCAGGGAGCTATGCAGGAAAGGAGAGAAAAGATTTTAAGAGGTAGAGGAAGTAGATGACATGAAGGAAGCAGTGTGTTCCGGACCGATGTCTTCAGGACTGTGGACGGAGCCAGCTGTACAGTCCCGGGTCCGATTCTGAGTGGAGGTGTGTGGACTCGGGAAGTTTAATTACTCAACGACGCTAATGCTGAGACAGGAAACCCCATATCATCTCAGGAGGGCTCCCAGCTGACGCCGAGCAGCCACAGTTTATTGAGAAGTCCATTTAAATAGTCCTCCAAGGGCAGGGACAACATCAGGAAGCATCCATCATTATGCATATCGCTAACAACAAGTGATTCTGTTACCTAAACAACTCTTGGTCAGGTAGGCAGAGTATTCAGCCCAGGTATGGACCTACTCAAGGCTTAAGCTACAGAGATGCAAATTAGGGGGCATATCATCCTGAGGCCATGGTAAACAGTAGCAGCCCTAGTGGCAATCAACAATACAACGGTGACCCGGAGCTTCCAGAGACTGGGACCCAAAATATTCCATAACAGAGATATTCGGTCCCCCACAGCAGCGTCTGCCAGACAAAGCAGGACTCACATACATATGGATGCACAGAGAGAGCAGCAGCACACACAAGACCTGTGCAGGTAGGTCCAATCCCAGATGGGGTCCCAGAACAGAGAGGGGAAAGTAGGGGACATGGGCTCCCACACCTAACCAAAAAGCTCTCTCCACTTGACAACTGCTTGCAAAGGAAAATTTGCTTTTCTCAAATGGAGTCTCACTGGTTTAATGAAACACACTTAGGGGCAGGCCCCATGCACAGAAAGAACTCAATGTTTTGTTTTGTTTTGTTTTAAATGATTTAATTGTTTTCTTTTTTTTTTTGAAAGATTTATTTATTAAGTATACAGTGTTCTGCCTGCATGTATGCCTGCAGACCAGAAGAGGGCACCAGATCTCATTACAGATGGTTATGATCCACCATGTGAGTGCTGGGAATTGAACTCAGGACCTCTGGAAGAGCAGTCAGTGCTCTTAACCTCTGAGTCATCTCTCCAGCCCTCAAAGGTGTTTTTTCAGACTTTTGTTTCATCGTTTTTATCTTACTGGCCTTTTTCTTGTACATCATGCTTTCCAATTTTGTGTTTTATGGATTGTTTTTGTTGTTGTTTTATTTTGTTTTTATTTATTTGGTTTTTTGAGACAGGGTTTCTATGTGGCTTTGGAGGCTGTCCTGGAACTAGCTATTGTAGACCAGGCTGGTCTTGAATTCACAAAGATCCTCCTGCCTCTGCCTCCTGAGTACTGGGATTAGAGGCATGTGCCACCGACACCCGGATTTTTTTTAAAAAAATTGTTTTTTTTATTTTGTTTTGGTTTAGGTGTGTGTGTGTGTGTACACACACGCACGCACGCACCCACGCATGCGCAGGCACGTTTCTTGTGTTTTTTTCTTTTCTTTTTTGTTATTATGGGTTTGAGCGTTTTAGGGGGGTATTTTTGTTTGTTTTGTTGTTTCAAGATTTGGTTTCTCTTTTCTAAAGAGAGAGGTGTGTAGCTGGATGGATGGGGAGCATGGCAGGGGATGGGAAGAAGAGGCCCTGGTAGAATAAATTGTATGAAAACAACTTTCAAAATCAAAAACAATTTAAAATATTTTATTAATTCATACATTGTGATGGTGTCTTACTGTGTAGCACTGCCTAGCATGGAACTCACTATGTAGACCAGGATGGCTTTACACTAATAGTCTGTTTCTACTTTCCAAGTACTGGGATTAAAGGTATAAGACCACCACACCTGGCCTGATTAGTTTTATTTTTAATTATGTGTGGGTCTGTGCATGTGAGGGTAAGGGCCCGTAGAGACCAGAAGGGGGGGGTCACACATCCCTGGAGTAATAGGTGATTGTGCTGGGAATTGAACTTGGATCCCCTGAAAAAGCAATGCATTCTGTTAACAGTTGGTTCATCTTTCTCCAGTCCCCAACTAGTTTCATACTTTATTTTTATTTACTGTGCATTGGTGTTTTGCCTGCATGTCTGTGTGAGGGTGTCAGATCCCCTAAAACTGGAGTTACAGACAGCCGTCAGCTGCCATGTGGGTGCTGAGAATTGAGCCTGGGTCCTCTGGAAGAGCAGCTAGTGCTCTTAATCACTGAACAATCTCTCCAGTCCCCAACCCCTAATTTTTGTTTACATTTTATTTATTTACATATTTATTTATTTTTGTTTTGTTTCTCAAGACAGGGTTTCTCTCTGTATCCCTGG